AAAAGTATTGAGAAAACAGCTAGTTAAAAAGTGTTTATGGAACCTTTTTTAAAATTCAGGTCCGTTTGAATTCAAAACTCGACGGGGATGCTTTGTTACAAGATCTTTTCGTGGTCAGGGACGATTTCCACGAACACCAAGAAGAGATCATCGGTGAAAAGTTAAATACGAACCATTTCTTAATGATAAACAACTACAACTACACCGTCCATTTTGATGGGAAAGTCGGAGACGAGGTCGAAATGACATTGGACGGTTTTGAAAAGTAAGTTTGATGCTGGCATTGAAGATGTTTTTATTCAAATGGACGCTTGGAATATCTGACTCACCGATAATATCGCAATACATATAGCAATGGGGTTTCAAAAATATTTACAGTATATTGGAATGGCGTGTATATGCGCAGCGTGTGCGCTTAATGTACGTGTGTAGTTTAACCACCTCCGCCACCGAAACAGGTTATGTTTTCATAGGGGTTGGTTCCTCTGGATGTTCATTCACACGATATCTCGCACGGGTCTTTACAATTTCTGCTGAAAATTTCCCGATAAACACATATACGGGAAGGGTAGAAGATAACAGTTTTGGCTGAAGCTCGCTCTTCAAACATTTTGTTTAAATGTATATAGCCCTTTTCTTGGCGGAAGTCTGCGCTTTTGGAGTGTTTTCTTGTTTCTAATTAATTATCGTCTAAACATAATTGTGTAAGCTTAGTGCCCATATATATATATATATATATATATATATATATATATATATATATATATATATATACAACATGAACTGTTCGTTTTATTTTCATTTAATTTTCTCACAGAAACGTCCACAGAATACGCCTGGGACTTTGCTTTCCGAACGATACGGAGTCATTCGTTATGACCTATGACAAGACCCCTATCGTAATGGCGGCAAGCATGGAGGAGTTCGAGAACGCCACCCAGACCGATCCTTACACTGCGTATTGGGACGTCAGCACAGGGTATGTCGTTTAAAAAGCAAAATGATGAGAAAATATGAATGAATTTTATTATATTAGAAATTTCAACAGTTTTCCGTTCACAGCATCAAGGCATTACGGTATGTTAGGAAATTTACAATCTTTATGCATAAATCCGATTTCGAATTTTGGAGTCACTCTCACAATGGACATGGAGCCTTTTTTTTTTTATTAAAATTAAAATTCAATAATACACATGCAACGGTAAAATATACGGTTATGTTTATGGTAAACATAGTGATTAAAGATTCATAGATTGTTGACATTTCTAGGAAAATTTAAACCACCCAACCCCCGCTGTTACACGACCAGATAAAACCGATAACGAAATGGAATCTCTTTTTAAACTTTATACAAGATGATGGCGTCACTGCAGCTGATAATACAACCAATGTTATTTAGTATTACTAACATCTTTTGCTGCATCACTCTTAGTTTATCATGGAAAAATGATTATTTTTAATATCTTGTCAGGTTACTCTTTCTGAGTTTGCAAGGCCTCGAGGAACGCGCAGAAAATGACTGGAACGCCTGTCCCAATAAAGAGTTGACGAGCCAATGCCCGAAAGTGAAGATTACCCGAAATGGGGGCGGAATGTTTGCGGCTTGCTACGAGCATGCGTACGGACCGTACATAGCCAGTACACCGGTACGCATATATATATAAATATATGTCTTTTTTTTTCTGAAACAATGACCACCCTTTCATCAATTCTTTTATAAGCTTAGGTTAAGCGGCTGGCTTTTTAATAATGGCAGTTATGGCTGCTCTCCGACATACGTAAAGCATTGTGACTGTGGGAATGTGTCAAAATGTGTCTGAATGTTCAATGGATCGTAAAACAAGTGTTGACAGTGTGTTGTTTTTACTTTCTTTCAGCCAGCAGACGACACTGCACTTACCGCGCCAGGTTTATTGCCGGCCACAAGCATGCCTCAGAATGTGAGTGTCAAAAACAGAGAAATTAATCTCACTATATGAGAAATGACTAATAGTGATTACTTGATATTTTCATTATAGACAAACGAGACATTTAATGGTCCCATCCCCAATGAAACTATCGTTCTATGTGGATCGATCTAACTCCGTGGGGACTCTCGCTGAATGCAATCAGATTTATATATTGACACGCCTTGGCTTGTTTCCAACATACTCGTATAATCAACAGCTTTTCTGTTTTCTACTGAGCGCCAGGAGGAGGTACGTTAATCTGATTGCATTCAGCGAGAGTCTCTGCGGAGTTGGATCGATCTACGTAGAATGATAGTTTCATTGGGAATTAGCCCATTGACTTATTCAAGATAGCACTGACCTACTGATAAATTCATACTGTGGCATGGTTCGAAAGGGAAAATTTGTTTGGGAATCGTATTATATGACAATATCCCCTTTTTCACCCAGACGGATTGATATGCAATATTTTATACAAACGATTCACGCAAAATCCTTACAGTCGTGTTCGGAGTTGTGAAGAAGATGCTTCCACCGTTAAAGCCATCTATCCATACGAAAGAGATCTTTTAAAAAAGTATTATCTGCCATAATGCAACTGAAATGTAGCACTGTGAACCATTTATTCCATGATTTTAAATGCATTTTGAATATTTAATTTTTATTTTTGGTCTCAAAAATATCAATTTTCAACCCCAGACATAACCATGGCAACAGCTCTGTTACTCACACCCACCACCAGGTTAATGGCAAACAAGCAAAAAATAAAAGCTTAGGGCCTAACCTACCAGAAAATAATAGTAAACAAAAATCACTAATGGGGCTAAGTTGGTGGGAGATAATTAAAATTAATATTCTGTTGGAAGAATATATTATATCAATTTTAGCCAGTGTGTATAAGCATATTGGCGGCCATTTTGAATTTTGAAAGTCTTAATGTAATCAGAATTAATGCAAATTGTTTTAAAAAGTCCTAAGCTCGAATTCAGTTTATTAAAAGTAATAAAGAATGACACTTTGATGATAAATCTGGCATCTTTCCAGTTGGGACAGCAGACTTATATTTTGGCCACCATTTTGGATTTCAGGATTTTACAGCAAAATTAAAAGGTTTCATCTAAAATAAATACTGTAGGTAGCAAGTAGAGACTGTATGCTATTCCGGCGCATCAAAACATATCCCACATTCTTATTCCTTTATTATTGAATAAAGACTCAAATATGAAAAATAATTGAAATTACTCAAAAATTAGCAAAAATTGGCCGCCATCTTGAATTTACAGCCATCTTGGAATATTTTGAGGATCATAAAGTATAGTGCAGCTCTTAAACTATACATCTGAAAGGATTTTGAATTCCATTCACTTAACACATTTGAAAAATTTAATATTTTTTTGGTCTCAGAAATTTCAATTTTTTATCTCAGACGTTACCATGGCAACGGCTGTAGCACACACACCCACCACCAGTTTAATGGCAAACAAGCGGAAAATCAAAGCTTAGGACCTAAGCTATCAGAAAAACATAGTGAACGAAAATCACTAAGGGGGGGGAGGGGGGTCTACATTGGCCCATAGACTAATTCCTGTAAGTTTGAAAAAACAGACAAACAAACTGAACAAGTGTCACTTTTATGATGTTTGCAATTGCAGTGCACAGAATCATCTTTCTTGCCAATTTTGCAAAAAATGCTTATCAACAATATATGACGCAGTCTCGCAGAAGCATAAACGCAGCATGAAACCAAAAGTTGCGTGTCGTGTGGACTGCCTCGTACAGTGTACATAGGCTACAGTATATCAGAGATGCCTCTCTTACTAGCAATAGAAGTATCATGTGTGCATTCAGGTGCATTCCTCGTAGTTCTAAATAACTGTATTTTCTTTATTTCTTATATTAAAGTTTTCTTTAAAGAACTTACGCGATACAAAGTATGTGGTGTAAGGAAAGGGGATTTGATGAGGGTCTTTACCAAAGCAAGCAATATACATTTTTATCGTAAAAGTTGGGTATGAGGGAATAACAGGAAGTTGTGTCTGTGTGGAGGGGACGTATCGGTATTTTGTCACTTTTCAATATTTACACCGTTGTAAGGTTGTCTGTCTTCACACACCTACCAGGCTTTTTTGCTCTTTCTTAATTCCTCTCTGCGCCGTGTTTAACACTCAGTTTAAATGTTTACTGGGCATGTCATTCGCAGGCGTGTCCATGTGACCATTTTCATTCACGAAAATTAACCATTTTACTCCTGACACTCTCTTCACACGTTCTCAACAGCAAACAGTATTGTAATAATAATAATGAATTAATAACGATACTTTAAAACACCGCTTTATTTTTTCAGGTCGGAGCTGGATTAACTCGACCATTTCTCATTCGAGAAAATCCATTTTAAGACAGACTGATTTATAGGAGGATTTTTCCCCGATATTATTCAATCACGTTATTTGATATAATTTGATCAACATGGAGTTGGCTTCAGTGGAAACGACGGACCGGACTTTGGATTTGGCAGTATAAAAACAACCGCAACAGATGTTGCAGTTTTGGCATTCATTGTAGTACAAATATGATTATGAATATTAAAGATAAATAGTTGCATTGCAAACCTTCTTGTTTATTGTGATTAATATGGGTAAAACGTTACTTTCTCTCTCTCTCTTTTGTCTGGGTTTTTGTCATTTTCTTGGAAACATAAACAACATTCTAAACCGCGGCTGATGTCTGGTTTATGTACCTTCAGGCTATTTCTTCAATTCTTAACAGTTTTCACATCACCCGATTTAAGCTACCGTTTCGTCTGAAATTGTGCTATCGATTTTGCTTTCTTTTTTTGCCTTGGAAAATCACACCCAATTAGAATGGATACGTAGTTATAACGACGTAAGCAAATACCTTCTACCTTGCTTTGTATTTTAACTTATGAATATATACAGACACTACATACACGCGCATAAGGAGCAACTCCAGGAAATAAAAGCAATGTGAAATAAGCAAAATGTGACACGGTTACTGATAGCCGACTATGAAATGTCAACCGCAGTACTTGGCATTTGTCAGAAGTGACTAATTTGTTAGTAATACCGACTAAAAAACAGTAAATCATTGCATTTCTCAGGCCAATTCCTTAGTCAGGTCAGAGTGACTTACATGAGTTACCCTGACCAGAAAACAAATTAAAGTTCACCAAAGCACTTTCATTCACAATAAAACAGTGGGCTCATTGCGTAAAAGACTATATCTTCCAAGACAGAGTATGGGCACAACAGACACTATGCAAATTGCACAATTTTTCTGCAGGGTCGGATAAAGACACCCTGAGCTTCAGAGATAACTTGCCACTAACCTCTTCACTATAGCCTATCTTCATCGTGTCAAGTTACCTCTGACCACATTCGATAGCCTCCGCCGCCCGCCAATCAAATTTAAAGCCCGCACTCAATGACTCATTGAACGATCTAGCCAATGAACGCGAACGAGTCAAAGCGCGCTTTGTTCAAATCCGGACCAATCAAAGATAAGGCTGAATATCANCCGCACTCGACAATAACTTTGTTGTTAGTATGGAGCTTGCGGAATCAGCCGAGGATTGCCGATTGACGGTCAACCAATCAGCGTTTTCACCAAACTTTGGTGAAAAATTTTGAAACATGGATTCGATTGGCTTATATAAACTAGGTCAAACAATTTTCGTCAGAGGTAACTTGACACGATGAAGATAGGCTATAGTGAAGAGGTTAGTGTCAAGTTATCTCTGAAGCTCAGGGTGGATAAAGAAGGATTACCAAGAACACAAAACCACGCCTAATGCACGTAGTAATTATTTCAGTAAATGGCTTTACGCGGAAAAAATAACAATGAGAAATGGTATTGTGTAAAGAAGTTAGTAATATATTCAGACAACAACATCAACCGTGATTAGTGACATACTTTCAGAACCTATTGTACACTCACGTTGTTATTGCCCACTCAATATCTCGTTTCTTGGGGTTTTTTTTAATACATTCATGTGCCTCAAATGGAAGGCATTTGAAGCATTTAAATAACGTATCAATAATAACAACCTAGCGTGTTAATGTTTAATATATGTGACATGCGACGGTATGGTGAAGAGATTACATGTCAAGAATGGGCCCCATTCAGCGCTGTTTAAGAAAACGTTTTAATCCCAACTCAAATTACACTTTCAATTGAATCCTTGTTTTAATTAACATTAACGTAAATGACAAGCTTTGCAGTCTGAGTTAGATTAATTGGGTAAAACATGACTGGAGATGTTATGTGACATTGGTGATATACGCATTATTCAACTAACTTCTCTCGGTAAGTATGTCAAATTTTACACTGCCGTGGTTTCGCAGACGCTCGAGGTGTTCTGGCATATATCGCTTGGTGTTCAGTTCACAAAAATAACCCCCAGACTTGTAAATTAATTTTGATGGCAATGCTTGCTCGTGCACTCGACTCATTTCATGACTTAACATGTAATTATATAACGCAAATTTTTTGTGCAATATGAGTAATTAAGAATTATATGCACCGCGAAATAGTGCAGCACTGGATACATCTTAGATGAGAAATTGCCTTCGGATTTAATACCCGATGAGGAGATTGAGAGAGACCGCTTGGGGTAGCTAAGAAGACAGACGCGAGCCACGGGGGATGGTTCAGAAGTTGGACACTGAACGTAGATGATTTAGTTAGCGAGCGCCAGCAAATAAACCGTTTAAATGGTCATTATGTGAGCTAGGGGTTTCTTTGAGCGAGCTTTACTTAAATCTGAAACGAGCCATGGAAACGAGCCATGGATTGCCTTGTGCGCGTTATAAAGAGGTTTCATTACAATAGTAAAAATGTTTGCATTACATCGGGCGTCAACGCAATACCTCAACCATATCCCGATATGTTTGCTCAAATGAAATTTCATGACATTTCAAAGAGCTAAAACAACCATTTAAAACCGTTTGATTAATAATTCTATTTTTATTTCCGCTAAAGAGCACAAACTGCTCACGGGTCTGACCAATCTAAAGCGAAAGCGGCGCATGTCTCCGTTACTCCTTTATAGATCATGTTGATTTACTCACGTTGAGACAGTGTATCATCTTGGGTCAAACGAAAGTTTTGATCTGAAAGTTACGAGTTGTTTTCGGGTCCAAGCTATTTTGTAAAACAGGTCCCTGCACAACATAATTAGCCAAAATCCAAAACTATTGCCATGGCTGCATCTTCAGATGTTTTTATTGCAGATGAATCGTGGCAAACATCAGGCGTGTTTCACACATTGTCCATTCGTCTGCAGTTATGACAATTGTGTTTTGGTAATGACGATGATGACGAAGAAATCGGATCGAACATGCAGGAAATCATTAGAAATGTGCCACATGCACACGGAAGCCGTGCATGAAGCACGTGCTTACACAATTGTGTTATATCAGAACCAGAACACGTAACTGGAATCTTTGAAACTTGGGAAACACGCAAGTGAATAAGAGTCCTAAAAGGAACCCAACAGAAAGAAGAGAACATACACGGAACATTTTAAAAAGGAGAAAAGATCCATACGGATGTATGGTCTACATCTAAAGACGAACATAAATAAAGAAGGAGCACTTTTTTTTAATATCTTAAAATTTTAACATTAAGAACTCAAATAATAAAAAAATTAATGGGAATTTCTAAAGCGTTTGGGTGCCGCTTATTGCCCGCCCAATATGGGAGGCTTTTGAAACATTCAAATAACGTATAGGCAGCTTTGATAATGATATTCTATTCACATTAGTAGTAAATTAAATTGCAAAAACTACTTTTTGTATCAGCTTCAATTCATTGAAATGATTTGGAACAAGGGACATTTTAGTTCTCTAAAAACGATTATTCAACTTGATTGTTTTCAATAATAACAACCTAGCGTGTTAATGTTTAATACATGTGACATGCGACGTTGTGGAGAGGAGATGAGATGCGAAGAACGGTCTGCATTTCGCGTAGTTTTAACAAACAAACAAAAAACTTTTAAAACCCAACTTAAACTCAACTTTTAATTAACCCCTTAACATTAAAATAACTCATATTAAAAAAATAACTGACAAGCCTTGCTGGAAATGACATGCACATGGAAGGCGTGGATAAAGCATAATTGCCATGGCTGCATCTTCACTAGGATAGAATCTATATTTTGGGTCCTAGATCTTCAGATGCTTTTTATTGTAAATGAATTTTGACATACGACAGGCGTGTTTCACGGATTGTGCTAATTGCCTACACTTATGAAACAAGTTGTTTTGGTTATCACTCACGATGTTGACGGTGATGGTTGAGTCACAGAGGAAATCGGATCGAACATGCAGGAAATCATTAGCAATGTGCTACATGCGTATGAAAGTCAAGCATTTAAAGCATATATACACAATTTTGGTGCTATATCCGAAACGGAACACGCATTCACAAGAGGGAAGGCTACTACGTCTTACCACCTCCTCCATGGACTTATGGAAATTGTGAGACTTGGAGAACACGCAACTGAATAAGAGTCATAAACGGAACTTAAGAGAAAGGAGAAAACTTAGAGGGAACTTTTGAAAGGGAGTAGGCCTATAAAGATACATATGATTGTATGGTCTCCACCTAAAGACGAATATGCATGAAGAAAGAGCAGTATAAGGGATAGCTTTAAGTATCACGTTTTATAAAATAATTTAATATTTTATTATTAGAATTCAAATAAATAAATGGGAATTTCTAAAGCGTTTGGGTGCCGCTTTATTTCTCCCTGTACCTCCACGTATAAGAGGCTGTAAATGAAAAATATATAGTTTTCTAGGCATACAGGATATTTTTCTCTGAAGCCCATTCAAAGACCAAGTGTGTCAAAATGTCGGATATTACAAAAGTGGGCAATTAAACATTCTTCGACCATGTTACAGCAAAACAGGCAGCGTCAGAGAGGATGATTGATTTTGTCTGCTGCTACATGTAATCTCCAGGAATGTCACTCGGGGAAGAAGTTGTCTGAATCAGAGTTACGTAATCTAGGAATATGTACAAAAGACTGCTGACGTGAAACAAAACAGGCAGATTGTTGACGTATGTGGTCCGCTGAATGATTTCCCCAAGGTTTAGGGGGTTGGAGGTGGACAACATGATAGCTTTGTCTTTAGAATTCGGGTACAATATGATCTGAACGCGGCAAGTATGTTTTCCGTTCTAAGGCAGTTATATCTGGGGATATTTGCAACATCAAACAATAAATTAGCGGCTGCATTATCCGCATTATCGGTTGAATTACCCGAGGTTAAAATTTCTGGGCAGATATCACGTCAACATAGTGCGGGCATGAAGCGCAACAAACGTAGCGCAGCTTGCGGTTATTTCAAAATTAAATTACCATAATTAAATCTAACACACACCTAAAAGCGCGTTATTTTCTTTGTTTTAATGAAGGATAACTTAAGTTCAGCTTTCAATGTTTTTAGTTTTACAGACTCTGCATGCAACCTATTTTCTGTATTCCATTCCCTCGCTATTACATTGCATGTACTTTTTATCATTAACACGCTATATGTCTTCAATGAATAATCAT